CTTACTATCTTGTCCAGGCTTTTACAGTTAATTTTAATAAACATCACCATAGTCCAGATTTAGAACATTTTCATCACCCCAGAAAGCTCCTTCCCTCCATTGGCAGTCACTCCCTGTTCCCACTTCCAGGTGTCCACTGATCCACCTTCTGCTTCTGTAGATGTGACTTTTCTGGACATGAAACAAACTATTTTGTCATCAATAACTTTCCTTGTATTTTACGTGTATACATGTGGCATTATGTTGATTTAAAACAGGTAGGAAATGCATTGATCTCTTGGGTATGGGGGAAATTTAACAAATACATGTCAGGGAATGGGCCCCCTGGGAGTGCTGGGGGTGGGGCACAGCCTGCCAGAGGGAAATGGTTCTGGTCACCATGACTTTTGATGCACACCCTCCTGAGCTCTTCACGCCTCAGGACCCTCCAAGACCAGAGCATTCCCCAGGGCCTAGCTGGGGTTGGTGTCTTTGCTGAGGCCACCCAAATTGCAAGACAGAGTTGCCCTACCATGTGTTGTCACACTTCCTGTCCCTTGATCCGGATGAATGAGTAATTTCTGTCCCTTTCCCCTCTCACAGGGACTTCCTTCCCCGTGGGTCAGGAATCGTCACTCGGCGGCCTCTCATTCTGCAGCTCATCTTCTCAAAAACAGGTAAGGTGGGGTGGCTTGAGGTTCAGCAGGAAGTGAACGTAGGTGTGGTGACCAGGAGAAGCCAGAGGCGGAGGGTGGAACTTGGGTCCTGGGCTGTCATTGGACATTGAATTCACGCATTTCACGTGTGTGAGGAAGTTGAACAACGGCTCTGTGAACACTTACACACCCACACTGCAAGCCCTCAGCTGTGACCAGCATGCCAGGTGCTTTCTTTTTTCTTTTTTTTTTTTTTGAGACAGAGACTCGCTCTGTCTCTCAAGCTAGAGTACAATGGCGCAATCTCAGCTTACTGCAAACTCTGCCTCCTAGGTTCAAGCAATTCTCCTGCCACAGCCTCCCGAGTAGCTGGGGTTATAGGCGAGCACCACCACACCTGACTAATTTTTTTTTTTTATTTTTTTTTTTTTATTTTTTTT